AAAGAGTTTTATAAGAAAACTGATGTCGTTGCAATGCGTTCATTAACTGGCCTTCTTCTAGCAGATTGTTTTACGGAAAATTTTGACAACACAGTACTTCAGTCGACGATCGACGGCTTTCATTAATTCAAAGGTATTTGATAGGAGCCTTTTATTATACAAAGATGAAAACAGTGACCTCATTGTTATCCTGGATAAATAGAATAGCCGCCATTAATTTATCAACTATGAATCAGAATCGAATTCGAGATTTCATTTCCTCGATTTCTTGTTAACCAGAAGACAAGATAGTACATTATGAAAGTTTTTTATATCAAAAACCAACTTGGAATGGACAACATATATGAATTTTAATAGCTCGCCTCCATTAAACAGAAAATAAAACTTAATTCAATATGCTCGGATGACAAGAGAGACAAAACGCTACAGAATTCCTCAAAAACGACTATCCATCCAAGTCTGTGTAGCAAAACATGAAAACTAACTTAAAATGTACGAGACCTTACACAGTTCATCAAAGAATTGTGGCCCGAGATCGGATTCTAATTTGTACCAACAACTGTGAATATGCTATGAAATGAATCTTCGTGTATTATATTTTGGCTAACTCTAACTGTGCAACGGCAGCAATGAGAAGCCTAATGAGGTTTATTTTGGATGAATTTATTCCATACATTCGGTAAGCGCACAGACTATAATGAGAAGCATACAAGCGAAGCCAAGCCAAGTCAAGAGGAACAAGGAAGGCAAACTTGTCGACTCATTTTGGCAAAGAACGACTAAGTATATTTTTAACCATACAAAGTAGGGCTAGACATGTGATAAGCGAGGCTAGCATTGCTTATACTCACTCACTTAAGTAAAGACAACCGAGGTTGTAAGTAAGTAATTAACAAGGTCAAAATACGTGCGAATAGTAATAACTCGAGAATAATGTATTGATTAATTTGTCCAAAAGTTGGGACAAGCCGTGTGGGCTCGATATGTTAGTACATACTACACATTTCCCCCATATTTATCATGGTGCGTATTTATTTCTTGAACATGGAAATATCAATACACACTACAGAACTCTATTCATGAAAATTGAGTTTAAGGCAGTACTACTGATGAAATTCTTGAAAAAAAGGTTTTTATGCCACCGAGCTTATGATCGTTCTTTCTTGACTCTACATTATTCGTGGATATGCCAAGGCTAAGCTTTAAAAATAAGCAATATCATTATGTATTTATAAGTTTATTTGCCTCTGTGTTATAGGTTACAAAGACCGCACAAAGTGGAAGCTTTCAAAGCACTTCTTTGAACTTTATACTGTGAGTGTTTCGAAAGATCATCCAGTCAGTCAGTTATGAAGTAGGTATTCATACGTACGTACTATCAGTTCAGGTTGCCATACCACATTAGTACAGAGACGCAATTATCAATTCAAATCCCATAATAGTAGAGGTAGTAGAAGTATCAGCGGTAATGGAGAAGATTAGGGATCGAAGAAATTACTCAAGCTGTATAATTCTAATTCATTTTTAATGATGACATCATGGGTTGTTTTTCGTTATTCGACAATAACAAATTGTTGATTTCAACAAAAGCTTCACAAAACACCTTAGCATGATTACTTTGATATTTCTAATTTACCTAAGGTAGTAGTAATTTCTGAATGTAAAGAAGCTTAGCCAAACTATTTTCTAGTTGATTGTAGGTTTACAATGGAGTTTTGATTATCAGAGCCAAAGATGACCAAGTGCGATTTATAATAGTGGTCCTGTTTTTATATTTGTTTATATATTGAACAGTAATCACTGGTATACTTCTGAACTGGCCGCTAGTTCAAACTGACTTAATATATCCTTGTTTTAAATGATTAGAAGATAGTCTTAAGAAGGGGATCTTTCACCTGAGCGTCGTGCTAGTTGATATTTATCAGCAAGGAATATCTGTACTCTTAAGACAACCGATACACTTACTATGTTAGACTTGAAGCTGAATCGATCAATATCACAACCAAAGACTTTATTAGTGAGTTGTTTAAACCGCTGAGATTCAAACCACTTGGTAAACAAATAGTCTAGGTCATGCATGCATGCATGAGTGTTGGCATTTTTTGTCAAATTATATATAAAACCTAAAAGCATGCTATTTCATTTTTTTTTTTCAAAAAAAGACGATTGATTAGCTGACAACAACAACAACTTTACACGAGAAGTTCCATATATATATCTATTAGAAAATACCACAAAAAGAAAGTGATCAATCAATTTTCACGTGATCTGTCTACTCAATAAAAGACATCGATAAAATTAATTATGCGTACTCGTGATGCTTAACTAATAACACTCTTCTAAAATCCCTATCATCTGTATGCCCGCACACACACACACATACACACATAACAAACAAGGTAATAAGTACACCCACACTGCTTATTTGTACTTTATTACTAATTATGTTAAATGATGAAGAATTTCTCTCTAACACGCCATAACAAAAAAAAATTGCATTACAGAATTTAGATAGATCAATGAAAAGTTTAATTCTATGGAAAAAAAATTTTTTTTAATATTAATGATGATGTTTTGTTGTAATTGAAAAGATGATTATCATTTTTCCAAAATTGATTAACGATTCTACTTGTAATAATAATAATAATAATAATAATCTTTCTATCAAAGTTAAAGTCAGATGGTTCTGTTGAGTGTATTGTGCAATTTGAATGGTGTTTTTATTGAAATAGAGATGGATGAGTGACTAGTAGTGTGGGAGCCGTGTTAAGCGTTTTGTTCTTTGTGGGCTCTATTCAGCTACATGTATCTACTGAGTGAGCGTCAATACTGGGATGTTGGGATATCCAGCTGACGAGTTTCAAATAGGACAAAAAAACACAGATCCTAGATCTCATTGATAGTCACTATCAATCTCTGCTTAAACATTGCTTATGACTTAACGTCTAAATATAAAAGCAATCCTCTCAGGACGAACATCTACCATAAGAGATTTACTTACTTACTTACGCCTGTTACTCCCCAATGGAGCATAGGCCGCCCACCCGTTTACTCCAACCAACTCTTTCCTGGGCTTCGCTCTCCAGTTCTGTCCAATGTTTGTTCATTCTTCTCATATCTTTCTCTATTTCTCGGCGTAATGTATTCTTTGGCCTTACTCTTTTCCTTTTCACATTGAGGGTTCCATGTGAGGGCTTGTCTTGTGACGCAGTTTGATGCTTTTCGTAGTGTGTCCTATCCACTTCCACCGCTTCCTGCTTTGCTCCTCCGCTGGAATCTAGTTTGTTCTCTCCCACAGTACGTTGTTGCTGATGGTGTCTGGCTAACGAATCCGAAGTATTTTGCGTAGGCAACTGTTAATAAACAATTGTATCCTCTGGATGATGGCTTTCGTAGTTCTCCATGTTTCCGCTCCATATAGTAGAACTGTCTTGACATTTGTATTGAAAATCCTGATTTTGGTTTTTGTTGAAAGTTGTTTGGAGTTCCAGATATTTTTCAACTGTAGAAATGCTGCCCTTGCTTTGACAATCCGCGCCCTCACATCTGCATCTGATCCACCTTGATTGTCGATGATGCTGCCCAGATATGTAAAGGTGTTAACGTCCTTCAAGGCATCTCCATCAAGAGTGGTTTGGTTGGTGCATGTTGTCCTTTTTCCTTTATGTATGTTGAGACCTACTACTGCAGAGGCTGCTGCTACACTAGTCGTCTTCTCTTGCATTTGTTGTTACCATAAGAGACTGATGTCTCATAAATGAAAAGTAAAATTTAATTTTACCCGGAAAACCAGTAGATATCCAGAAGTGTTGGATAGCTAACTGATCTCAGATTACGACTGGTCACTAGTTCGAACCCAGGAACTTCAGGTCTTTTTTCAAGGACAAAACTGTTAGGTCATTCATTCAGTTGACACCGAATGGTTTTACGTTCCTAACAACAGTCAATCTATGACACTGCACAATCTTTACTAATTGTCACTGATGATGTATATATTTCAATTCGGGTATGTATGGTGTAACTCCCACTGGCTATAATTGATTTTCTCAGTAGATGTATGAGAATTCTTCTTGAAACTACTTACTAATGTAAGCAATAACTTTTCAAACCATTTATCAGATGAATCGATCAGAAACAGACTAGATATTTTACCTAATTAATGGCATAGATTAATTTGTTAAAAATAAAATCGGAACAAGCTGATAGTTTGTAAATAGATCGATTCTATCCCAAACCGACCAATCAGAAGAGACAGAGAATTTTAAAAGAATTTTGGCAGCCACATACATAACTGTCTCCTTACTATCCATCTAAATTTTTCTTGTTTTTCAGTTGAAATAAACAATAATATTTTTCAAATGATTTATATATTAGTTGAATAGTTAAGGTTTTTTGGAAATGAGTAAACTAATTGATCAATAAAGTTTTTTCTTCTGGAATGGTGAATTGCTTTCGCTTTCTCAAACCTACAATCTAGAAAAAGGAAATTCACATTTCAAGAAGTATATATATCTATACATATATGTAAACATTACGGGGTTGTGAAGATTGTTAAGTTACACATTTTTTTTGAAACCATGAATCGATCAATGTTAGACCATCATTTGAAACCTGGAAGTACTGGACGGCCGTTTCGTCCTGGTATGGGACTCCTCAGCAGTGCGCATCCACGACTCCTGCATCCCGCAGGAGTGCGTTCGCGTACAATACCGAAGGTCCTGGGTTCGAATCCTGCGGGGTGCAAGAGTCTTGGGTGCGCACTGCTGAGTAGTCCCATACAAGGACGAAACGGCCGTCGTGCAGTGCTTCCAGGCTTCTAACGGCGGTCTAACACTGATCGATTCATGGTTTCAAAAATATATATATATATATATATATATATAAACAACAAACTGACTGAAAATCATTCATTGCTTACCTGAATGTATAGTTATATTGATAGTATAGACGATGTAGTGAATTGTTGAGGAGATATGAATTTGCAAAGTTGATAACACTTTTGTGTGTGTGTGTGTGTGTGTAAATTTCAACGAGTTATCTCTTTTTGTTTTCTTTTGAACAAAAGTGTATCATTAGAAATAAATTTAAATGAATCAGATTTATAATTGTTATTATTATATGTGAGAAAGTGTTTTCTTCATTTATGCAATGTACCATGCTTAGACCACCATGTTTTTAATCGTGTTCGACTTTTCGATCGAGGTTTTGAACTGTCAACAACATCATCATCATTATCTTGATGTTGTTGTGGTTGTTTTTGTTGTTGTCGGGTTGAAGATTTCTTTTTACTTTTTCGAAAATGTGATGTTAATCGATTGATTGTTTTAGATAGATTTTGATGATCCGAGAGTTTAGTATCTAAATAAAATATTACATAACAAATTAGAATAGGATATTTAAATGAAATCAAATCATTCATTGATATCAATGTGTCAAAATTAAGTCAGTCAGTTAGTCAGATGCAACGTAGAACTTCACACGTAAGTACATCAGTTCATGTTGCCATACCACATCAGCACAGAGATGTAATTGTCAATTTAAATCCAATAGTAGAAGAGGTAGCAAAGGTATTGGAAGTAATCGGAGAGGTTAGAATTAGAAGATATTATTCAAGAAGTATGATTCAGTGAGATATGGTTAGAAAGTCAAAACTAGAGGTGTTGAAGAATCCAGAAGATTAGGATTTGAGAGAACACAAAGAATAAATGCACCGACCCGATCGCGAACGATTTTGAGCAATGTCATTCAAGGTATCTAACCATCGATTATTATCATCTCGCGGACCCCAACCAGGTAGTCGACAATTACCGACATGGCTAAGTCCACTCGTCAATGACTTCATGGATTTGTGCCATGTTTTGGTTTGGCCGCCCCTAGCTTTCTTCCAACCTACTCCTACACTACAAAACAAAGCTCTTCGAGGCAGTCGGTGGTTAGGCATACGCAACGCATGTCCCAACCACCACAACTGATGAAGTTTCAGCACTTTATCTATTGATCTGCCATTCTTACCTAGCACCCGTTTCCTAATAACAGCGTTGCTCACTCGGATGTCCCAGGATATACGAGCAATGCTTCGAAGACACCTATGATCGAAAACCAATAACCTACGAATATCTTCTACTCTCACGGGCCATGTTTCACAGCCATGTCAAAATTAAATTGTACACTAAATTATGAATATATATATATATATATATATATATATATATATATATATATATATATATATATATATATATATATATATATATATTAGACAGATGAATGCAGCAGATAGGAGGCATTCAATATTTAAATCGCGCACATATTAACAGATGTAAATCAGAAAAACAAAAAGTTTCAACTGACACACTTATGGTGGTCAGAACTTGTATCACTCACTACTCTTTGAATCTTTGTATTACGCATATTCTTCTGTGACGATGGTTTAACAAAAATTCTGTAAAACAATGGATTTTTTTTGCGCGTAAGATACTTGTATGTAATTCATGCATTATTGTATCTGTAAAACCCATCATTTACACTTTTCACTGATTATATTGAACCGGCGGAAAACTAAGGATCGCCTCTTGTTTATTTCTTATGGAAATATATATTTTATCAAAAAATGGCTTTATCTTGGTACATATCATATAAAATACAATGGTTCCTGAGTAATTCTAACAACTCATTACTAAACTATTATAAGTTATTTGAAAAATAAGTCGTTAGTTAGATTATATACAGTAGTAGTAGTAGTAGATAAATATGCTGGCATCTCAGAATATCTATCTTTCCTTTCTAATTTGTACACTGGCATCATAGTAAAAGGTTTGGCTTTTATACTTGAAATTGGGATTGTCATTATTTCATTTCGATATCATTACTAGTGAGGTTGCTTTTAAAAAGAACTAATCTTGAAGCATAAACTGCGATAATAATAGTCTACTCTGTCACTAGAGAACATCTTGCAAAACTAGACGGGAGGTTTTGTGATATATTAGACAGGTGAACGGGAGGCCCCTAGATTTAAATTGTGCATATACTGACTTATGTAATCAGAAAAAAAATGTTCAACTGACACTCTTATGGCGGTCAGAACTTGTATTACTCATTTCAGAAATCACAGGCATCAATCAGCCAATTGAGTTATTAGATCTGAACAATTGAGAAATGCCAATCGTCATAAAATCTATCTGTCCTGTTTTTTTATTCTAACCGGCAGCCATCTTTAAATTAAAGACATATGCAATCATTAAGACAAAAACAAATAATTTTTTTTACAATATGTTTATATTTTTTATAATCAGGATTTTTAACCAGTTCTACGTGAAAGTTGTTAAATACAAGAAAAATGTCAATATTCACTACTGACTACTACTGTATTTTAGTATTTACGATTTTACGGTGTCCTAATATGAAGTATTTCTTTCAAAGCTTAATTATGCCAAATGATGGTTGATATATAAATATCTATGTGAACCAAAAACAACACACACACACACAGTCACCTTTAATTGGTATTCATCGACTTTGATATTATGAATAAGTAGTGTTACATGATGAAAAAAATATCTCTGAACGTTATCCGTACTTTGGACAATGTGCAGTAAAAATAAAAGTACAAAAGCAGGTTTTTTTTGTTAAACGTTTTTCCCTAACAGAGTGAATCCACGCTAGATTCTGTCTGTCATTCAAGAAATATCCATATACACAGAGATAAGATGGAATGTGGCTAGAAGTAGAATTCAGAATGAGCATTTCTTGTAATTTGTAATTCGTCATTTGGATTCGTCTGTATTCCGATATTGGTTGTGTTCTCTACCGAATTCAAACCTAGTACATTACTCTTCAAACGATCCTGAACTCAGTAGCTCATTGAATAACATAATGGATGTTGGAAATCAGAGATATTGGGTTTGAAATCTGGAACAAACATTGATACTAGGTGTAAGATCCATTTTTTCAAGGCTTTGTTCGTGAAAATCCCCCCATGTATAGACATTTGTAATTTTTCCTTATTGATTCCTTCAGTTGTACATTTTGTTAATCTGTTCGATTCCATTTTGAGATGATAATATTTGTATCTTAACTATAGTTTCTATTTCTTTTGTGCCTTCACTGAGTTTTTATGTTTCATTCTGAACTGCATTTGTGTTGTTTTAGCTGATACTTAGTCATGGCGACAGCCATATTGATTTGTTCCTCTCTTGATTGTGTTGCTTGCTTGGACTGGAACTGTGCATTTTGATTGTGAATTGAGGCATTCCTCCAGAATAGGAAACACTCTCCGTTATAAAGCAACCAAATATTATCTATCGAATGAATCTGATCTATCCGGGAGGGAAAGAATATCATTCATTTGAATAATTGAACAATTGTTGGTGGAATAACTGAGTTATAATATTTGTTTAGGTAATGATGTATACTTATATTTATGATGAATATTAGAACCGTTATTTACCTAAACCACTTGTTTTGATTTCAACTGGTCAAGACACGTATCTAATCTACCTGGACAGTTATTCCTCAATTCAAACCTCAATTTAGATCCTACACTGAAATCCAAACAGTGGGTCCTAAAAAAACTTGAGGTTTCATGTCTTAAATTCCATTCCTAGTCATATTCTATTTATCCCATGAAAAATTTGTAATAAACCAAGTAGCTAAAATTGATGAAACTTTCAGTCAAGATTATCAAAACCGGGATAAGCTGAACCTGAATTAAAGCTTAATATGATTTAGCTTAAAATATATATATACACAGTTTCTTCCCATCTATTTTGTTGATAGATTAGATTGAAACCATGAATCGATCAATGTTAGACCACCATTAGAAACCTGGAAGCACTGCACGGCGGCCGTTTCGTCCTGGTATGGGACTCCTCAGCAGTGCGCATCCACGACTCCTGCACGTGACCAGTGAAGTTCAACCTGTTCGGGTGTAGACAGTAACTACCGAAGACTGTGTATGAGGTTGCGCAACTCCGTGAATATGATCAAGTTAGACATTAACACCGTTAGATACCGGCTCAGTGGTCTATCGGTTAGGGCGTTCGCGCACAATACCGAAGGTCCTGTGTTCGAATCCTGCGGGGTGCAGGAGTCGTGGATGCGCACTGCTGAGTAGTCCCATACCAGGACGAAACGGCCGTCCAGTGCTTCCAGGTTTCTAATGGTAGTCTAACATTGATCGATTCATGGTTTCAAAAATGTGCAACATAACAATCTTCACAACCCCGTAATGCAGATTAGATTGAATCACCAAACAATTATTCTGAATGCTTATAGGATATAATAAGAGTATGAATTCAATAGTCTAAGATCAAACCTAGTAAACTAACCAAGGTAACAGGACGAATGGAAATTCATTTCTTCTTCATAATTTGACATAAGACTTATTAAGGTTGTAAATAATTTACAGTTATGGAAAGTAACCAAACGAAGATTTACTACTGTATCTAAATAAACACTGTATTTGAACTACGTTCAGTTTATCCTACTCTTGAAACAACCATTTCTATAATCCTATGAGTTTAAATCCCTACGTGGTTCAAAAAGTACAACAGAGTCTTATGTAAGCAAAATCAAAATAATTTTGTTATTGTCTTGAAAAATTTGATCAGAGTATTTTAATCAGAGAAAACAAAGAAACAAAAACAAAATAATTTCAATTTTTAACTTACCAAGAGATATAAGACTACTTTCTTCTTCAGCTGTCATTGGAACAATACTGCCACTGTTCTGTGAGAGTTGAGATATTAATGTTCTTCTTGATTCACCTAAAGGCCATTCAGGTTCATAACGTGGAAGAGCTTTGTCATCCATATAGGGAACATCGTAAACAATTTCTTTACTTGCACGAAAACTTGGAATTTTAGTTGGTGTTAAAGCATCTGGAAACATATAGTCATCGTCTACAAAATGACATCCAGGTGGTGGATATTCTAAAGTACTCCAAGGTCGGCGTTTTGTTGAATTGCCTAGGTTACGTCGGAGAAAGTCAGAAGCATTTAGTGAATTTTCATTTGAATGCTTTGTTATTGTTATTGAACTTGGCTGTAGAAAACTAACTGAAGCATCTTCAGTTAAAGTGTATTCATCTTGTTCTGAATTTAAACTTCCCATTAACTCGCAGTAGGGTTCTCTAGGACCATGCCATGTTTTTCGAACTGAGGGATCTTTAAGTTTACTCGGAGAACGTCGAGGAGTCAAAGTAAGATCATTATTATGATCGTGGTAGTCTCTAGGATAATCTGACTTCTTGGAAGTATCTGAAATAACTTCATCTGTAGGTGTTTGACCATGAAGTATGCGTCGTTTCTTATGAGATTTCGCCTTTTTCTTAGATTTGCTGTCAATAGTAACATGTTCTGCAACAACATCAGCGGTACTATGATGAGAATGATCAGAATAAGGCTTTTTATGATTATTCTCTGAATTTTTGTCGTTAGTATCGATAACTTTCACTCGATGAACAGAAACTTTGTCAAGCATCTTTGATTTCAAAGTATCAAATGGACTATGTAATTTACTTTTATCGGATTTAACATTATATGATGCCTCTAAATTCGGTGTATGATAGTCAGACTTTTCTGAAGTTTCGACAACTAAAAGGTCTTGTGATCCTGTTAAATCATTTCCATTCGGTAAAATACGATTAGTTTGAATTGGAACAATGAAAATTTCGTCGATTTCAGCGGGAAAAGCCTCGTCATTAGAAATGTCACCATTAAAACCTGAATCAACTGGAGAAGAAAAACTCTCATCGATATCCTGAAAAGCGTTTCTAGGTGAAATTCTAGACCGGAAAGTACTGGACTCACAAAATTCAAGTGAAGAAATAGGGGAAATAACAGGCTCCTCCACAATAGGACGAATATCAACACTTCGCAACGGTTCAGCTGGGGAAAGGGAGTCAACCAAATCGTAACTCTTACGAAATGAAGTAGGCGATAAATGAGAATCCGGAAGAACACAAACAGAATCCGGTGCATAGGAGCGTAAAAAGTCGGGAGAAAGACAAGAATCAACTTCAAAAGATGCATTAACAGATGAAGCTAAAGGTATGACAGTATCAACATTAGCCACAACAGGTGAGATTTCATAATGCGCATCAACAGACAAACCATCTTTATTCAAATTCAGTTTCGGAGAAGAGAAAACCGGAGACCAGTGGAACTTCTTACCTTTACCTCGACCACTTGCATCCACATCGACATCCACACTGGGAACGTCAACCTTGCCGCTCACATCCAAACCAGCATCCACGTCTCCCGACACTTTCGGCAACTTCACCTTCTTCTCCTTCTTGCCTTTCGAGCCCCAACCGAAGGTGAATTTCTTCTTTGATGGAACGCTGACTTTCACATCGGGTGCAGCAACCTTCCCAGTCACACCACCTGATACATCGATTTCGGGCACAGAGGCGGACACATCAACGTCAGGAACCTCCATGGAGACATCGAGTTCGTGTTTCGGAAGTGACACATCCACACCGCCAGTCGGACCTGAGACAGACACCGACGCGTCCGGCTTTCCAACACCAGCACCACCACCTATCTTCAGACCACCCTTCGGCAACCCGAACTTAGGAGACCAATGGAATTTCTTACCTCCCTTGCTTGCTTTACCATCTACATGAGCGTCCAAATCGGCATCCAAACCGGCGTCCAAATCTATCTTCCCACCTGCTCCACCCTCCACTTTCACATCAGCCTTTGGAGTTTTCACTTTCGCCTTCTTTTTGCCCAAACCGAATCCGAGTTTCGGTGCCTTGATTGAAATATGCGGTTTCGGCACATCCACCTTAGCACCCACATCCACATCTGGCATCTCACCATGTACACGGAGATCTGGACCAGTCAGTTGCACACTGGGCAGTTTCACGTCTGTGTCCAGGTTGGCGGACACATCAGGCATGGACAGGTCTCCCTCAACAGACGGTGCACTCACATTTCCTGAGATCTGTAGGTCTGGTAGGTTCAAATCGGCGTCAACAACTCCCACACCGACACCGTCCAAATCGAGCTTACCGGAGAGATCACCTCCCAACGACGCATCGGGAACGGACACATCGACAGTAGGCAAATGAACACCGGCTTTCACAGATGGCACCTCCACAGATGGACCAGTCACATTCACATTCACATCAGGTGCATCTGCATGAAGTTTCCCAGACACGTCTGGTCCATGCACCTTCAACTTCGGCAACGAGATGTTCGGAGACCAGTGGAACTTCTTACCTTTACCTCGACCACTTGCATCCACATCGACATCCACACTGGGAACGTCAACCTTGCCGCTCACATCCAAACCAGCATCCACGTCTCCCGACACTTTCGGCAACTTCACCTTCTTCTCCTTCTTGCCTTTCGAGCCCCAACCGAAGGTGAATTTCTTCTTTGATGGAACGCTGACTTTCACATCGGGTGCAGCAACCTTCCCAGTCACACCACCTGATACATCGATTTCGGGCACAGAGGCGGACACATCAACGTCAGGAACCTCCATGGAGACATCGAGTTCGTGTTTCGGAAGTGACACATCCACACCGCCAGTCGGACCTGAGACAGACACCGACGCGTCCGGCTTTCCAACACCAGCACCACCACCTATCTTCAGACCACCCTTCGGCAACCCGAACTTAGGAGACCAATGGAATTTCTTACCTCCCTTGCTTGCTTTACCATCTACATGAGCGTCCAAATCTATCTTCCCACCTGCTCCACCCTCCACTTTCACATCAGCCTTTGGAGTTTTCACTTTCGCCTTCTTTTTGCCCAAACCGAATCCGAGTTTCGGTGCCTTGATTGAAATATGCGGTTTCGGCACATCCACCTTAGCACCCACATCCACATCTGGCATCTCACCATGTACACGGAGATCTGGACCAGTCAGTTGCACACTGGGCAGTTTCACGTCTGTGTCCAGGTTGGCGGACACATCAGGCATGGACAGGTCTCCCTCAACAGACGGTGCACTCACATTTCCTGAGATCTGTAGGTCTGGTAGGTTCAAATCGGCGTCAACAACTCCCACACCGACACCGTCCAAATCGAGCTTACCGGAGAGATCACCTCCCAACGACGCATCGGGAACGGACACATCGACAGTAGGCAAATGAACACCGGCTTTCACAGATGGCACCTCCACAGATGGACCAGTCACATTCACATTCACATCAGGTGCATCTGCATGAAGTTTCCCAGACACGTCTGGTCCATGCACCTTCAACTTCGGCAACGAGATGTTCGGAGACCAGTGGAACTTCTTACCTTTACCTCGACCACTTGCATCCACATCGACATCCACACTGGGAACGTCAACCTTGCCGCTCACATCCAAACCAGCATCCACGTCTCCCGACACTTTCGGCAACTTCACCTTCTTCTCCTTCTTGCCTTTCGAGCCCCAACCGAAGGTGAATTTCTTCTTTGATGGAACGCTGACTTTCACATCGGGTGCAGCAACCTTCCCAGTCACACCACCTGATACATCGATTTCGGGCACAGAGGCGGACACATCTAGGTCAGGAACCTCCATGGAGACATCGAGTTCGTGTTTCGGAAGTGACACATCCACACCGCCAGTCGGACCTGAGACAGACACCGACGCGTCCGGCTTTCCAACACCAGCACCACCACCTATCTTCAGACCACCCTTCGGCAACCCGAACTTAGGAGACCAATGGAATTTCTTACCTCCCTTGCTTGCTTTACCATCTACATGAGCGTCCAAATCGGCATCCAAACCGGCGTCCAAATCTATCTTCCCACCTGCTCCACCCTCCACTTTCACATCAGCCTTTGGAGTTTTCACTTTCGCCTTCTTTTTGCCCAAACCGAATCCGAGTTTCGGTGCCTTGATTGAAATATGCGGTTTCGGCACATCCACCTTAGCACCCACATCCACATCTGGCATCTCACCATGTACACGGAGATCTGGACCAGTCAGTTGCACACTGGGCAGTTTCACGTCTGTGTCCAGGTTGGCGGACACATCAGGCATGGACAGGTCTCCCTCAACAGACGGTGCACTCACATTTCCTGAGATCTGTAGGTCTGGTAGGTTCAAATCGGCGTCAACAACTCCCACACCGACACCGTCCAAATCGAGCTTACCGGAGAGATCACCTCCCAACGACGCATCGGGAACGGACACATCGACAGTAGGCAAATGAACACCGGCTTTCACAGATGGCACCTCCACAGATGGACCAGTCACATTCACATTCACATCAGGTGCATCTGCATGAAGTTTCCCAGACACGTCTGGTCCATGCACCTTCAACTTCGGCAACGAGATGTTCGGAGACCAGTGGAACTTCTTACCTTTACCTCGACCACTTGCATCCACATCGACATCCACACTGGGAACGTCAACCTTGCCGCTCACATCCAAACCAGCATCCACGTCTCCCGACACTTTCGGCAACTTCACCTTCTTCTCCTTCTTGCCTTTCGAGCCCCAACCGAAGGTGAATTTCTTCTTTGATGGAACGCTGACTTTCACATCGGGTGCAGCAACCTTCCCAGTCACACCACCTGATACATCGATTTCGGGCACAGAGGCGGACACATCAATGTCAGGAACCTCCATGGAGACATCGAGTTCGTGTTTCGGAAGTGACACATCCACACCGCCAGTCGGACCTGAGACAGACACCGACGCGTCCGGCTTTCCAACACCAGCACCACCACCTATCTTCAGACCACCCTTCGGCAACCCGAACTTAGGAGACCAATGGAATTTCTTACCTCCCTTGCTTGCTTTACCATCTACATGAGCGTCCAAATCGGCATCCAAACCGGCGTCCAAATCTATCTTCCCACCTGCTCCACCCTCCACTTTCACATCAGCCTTTGGAGTTTTCACTTTCGCCTTCTTTTTGCCCAAACCGAATCCGAGTTTCGGTGCCTTGATTGAAATATGCGGTTTCGGCACATCCACCTTAGCACCCACATCCACATCTGGCATCTCACCATGTACACGGAGATCTGGACCAGTCAGTTGCACACTGGGCAGTTTCACGTCTGTGTCCAGGTTGGCGGACACATCAGGCATGGACAGGTCTCCCTCAACAGACGGTGCACTCACATTTCCTGAGATCTGTAGGTCTGGTAGGTTCAAATCGGCGTCAACAACTCCCACACCGACACCGTCCAAATCGAGCTTACCGGAGAGATCACCTCCCAACGACGCATCGGGAACGGACACATCGACAGTAGGCAAATGAACACCGGCTTTCACAGATGGCACCTCCACAGATGGACCAGTCACATTCACATTCACATCAGGTGCATCTGCATGAAGTTTCCCAGACACGTCTGGTCCATGCACCTTCAACTTCGGCAACGAGATGTTCGGAGACCAGTGGAACTTCTTACCTTTACCTCGACCACTTGCATCCACATCGACATCCACACTGGGAACGTCAACCTTGCCGCTCACATCCAAACCAGCATCCACGTCTCCCGACACTTTCGGCAACTTCACCTTCTTCTCCTTCTTGCCTTTCGAGCCCCAACCGAAGGTGAATTTCTTCTTTGATGGAACGCTGACTTTCACATCGGGTGCAGCAACCTTCCCAGTCACACCACCTGATACATCGATTTCGGGCACAGAGGCGGACACATCAACGTCAGGAACCTCCATGGAGACATCGAGTTCGTGTTTCGGAAGTGACACATCCACACCGCCAGTCGGACCTGAGACAGACACCGACGCGTCCGGCTTTCCAACACCAGCACCACCACCTATCTTCAGACCACCCTTCGGCAACCCGAACTTAGGAGACCAATGGAATTTCTTACCTCCCTTGCTTGCTTTACCATCTACATGAGCGTCCAAATCGGCATCCAAACCGGCGTCCAAATCTATCTTCCCACCTGCTCCACCCTCCACTTTCACATCAGCCTTTGGAGTTTTCACTTTCGCCTTCTTTTTGCCCAAACCGAATCCGAGTTTCGGTGCCTTGATTGAAATATGCGGTTTCGGCACATCCACCTTAGCACCCACATCCACATCTGGCATCTCACCATGTACACGGAGATCTGGACCAGTCAGTTGCACACTGGGCAGTTTCACGTCTGTGTCCAGGTTGGCGGACACATCAGGCATGGACAGGTCTCCCTCAACAGACGGTGCACTCACATTTCCTGAGATCTGTAGGTCTGGTAGGTTCAAATCGGCGTCAACAACTCCCACACCGACACCGTCCAAATCGAGCTTACCGGAGAGATCACCTCCCAACGACGCATCGGGAACGGACACATCGACAGTAGGCAAATGAACACCGGCTTTCACAGATGGCACCTCCACAGATGGACCAGTCACATTCACATTCACATCAGGTGCATCTGCATGAAGTTTCCCAGACACGTCTGGTCCATGCACCTTCAACTTCGGCAACGAGATGTTCGGAGACCAGTGGAACTTCTTACCTTTACCTCGACCACTTGCATCCACATCGACATCCACACTGGGAACGTCAACCTTGCCGCTCACATCCAAACCAGCATCCACGTCTCCCGACACTTTCGGCAACTTCACCTTCTTCTCCTTCTTGCCTTTCGAGCCCCAACCGAAGGTGAATTTCTTCTTTGATGGAACGCTGACTTTCACATCGGGTGCAGCAACCTTCCCAGTCACACCACCTGATACATCGATTTCGGGCACAGAGGCGGACACATCAACGTCAGGAACCTCCATGGAGACATCGAGTTCGTGTTTCGGAAGTGACACATCCACACCGCCAGTCGGACCTGAGACAGACACCGACGCGTCCGGCTTTCCAACACCAGCACCACCACCTATCTTCAGACCACCCTTCGGCAACCCGAACTTAGGAGACCAATGGAATTTCTTACCTCCCTTGCTTGCTTTACCATCTACATGAGCGTCCAAATCGGCATCCAAACCGGCGTCCAAATCTATCTTCCCACCTGCTCCACCCTCCACTTTCACATCAGCCTTTGGAGTTTTCACTTTCGCCTTCTTTTTGCCCAAACCGAATCCGAGTTTCGGTGCCTTGATTGAAATATGCGGTTTCGGCACATCCACCTTAGCACCCACATCCACATCTGGCATCTCACCATGTACACGGAGATCTGGACCAGTCAGTTGCACACTGGGCAGTTTCACGTCTGTGTCCAGGTTGGCGGACACATCAGGCATGGACAGGTCTCCCTCAACAGACGGTGCACTCACATTTCCTGAGATCTGTAGGTCTGGTAGGTTCAAATCGGCGTCAACAACTCCCACACCGACACCGTCCAAATCGAGCTTACCGGAGAGATCACCTCCCAACGACGCATCGGGAACGGACACATCGACAGTAGGCAAATGAACACCGGCTTTCACAGATGGCACCTCCACAGATGGACCAGTCACATTCACATTCACATCAGGTGCATCTGCATGAAGTTTCCCAGACACGTCTGGTCCATGCACCTTCAACTTCGGCAACGAGATGTTCGGAGACCAGTGGAACTTCTTACCTTTACCTCGACCACTTGCATCCACATCGACATCCACACTGGGAACGTCAACCTTGCCGCTCACATCCAAACCAGCATCCACGTCTCCCGACACTTTCGGCAACTTCACCTTCTTCTCCTTCTTGCCTTTCGAGCCCCAACCGAAGGTGAATTTCTTCTTTGATGGAACGCTGACTTTCACATCGGGTGCAGCAACCTTCCCAGTCACACCACCTGATACATCGATTTCGGGCACAGAGGCGGACACATCAATGTCAGGAACCTCCATGGAGACATCGAGTTCGTGTTTCGGAAGTGACACATCCACACCGCCAGTCGGACCTGAGACAGACACCGACGCGTCCGGCTTTCCAACACCAGCACCACCACCTATCTTCAGACCACCCTTCGGCAACCCGAACTTAGGAGACCAATGGAATTTCTTACCTCCCTTGCTTGCTTTACCATCTACATGAGCGTCCAAATCGGCATCCAAACCGGCGTCCAAATCTATCTTCCCACCTGCTCCACCCTCCACTTTCACATCAGCCTTTGGAGTTTTCACTTTCGCCTTCTTTTTGCCCAAACCGAATCCGAGTTTCGGTGCCTTGATTGAAATATGCGGTTTCGGCACATCCACCTTAGCACCCACATCCACATCTGGCATCTCACCATGTACACGGAGATCTGGACCAGTCAGTTGCACACTGGGCAGTTTCACGTCTGTGTCCAGGTTGGCGGACACATCAGGCATGGACAGGTCTCCCTCAACAGACGGTGCACTCACATTTCCTGAGATCTGTAGGTCTGGTAGGTTCAAATCGGCGTCAACAACTCCCACACCGACACCGTCCAAATCGAGCTTACCGGAGAGATCACCTCCCAACGACGCATCGGGAACGGACACATCGACAGTAGGCAAATGAACACCGGCTTTCACAGATGGCACCTCCACAGATGGACCAGTCACATTCACATTCACATCAGGTGCATCTGCATGAAGTTTCCCAGACACGTCTGGTCCATGCACCTTCAACTTCGGCAACGAGATGTTCGGAGACCAGTGGAACTTCTTACCTTTACCTCGACCACTTGCATCCACATCGACATCCACACTGGGAACGTCAACCTTGCCGCTCACATCCAAACCAGCATCCACGTCTCCCGACACTTTCGGCAACTTCACCTTCTTCTCCTTCTTGCCTTTCGAGCCCCAACCGAAGGTGAATTTCTTCTTTGATGGAACGCTGACTTTCACATCGGGTGCAGCAACCTTCCCATTCACACCACCTGATACATCGATTTCGGGCACAGAGGCGGACACATCAACGTCAGGAACCTCCATGGAGACATCGAGTTCGTGTTTCGGAAGTGACACATCCACACCGCCAGTCGGACCTGAGACAGACAACGACGCGTCCGGCTTTCCAACACCAGCACCACCACCTATCTTCAGACCACCCTTCGGCAACCCGAACTTAGGAGACCAATGGAATTTCTTACCTCCCATGCTTGCTTTACCATCTACATGAGCGTCCAAAACGGCATCCAAACCGGCGTCCAAATCTATCTTCCCACCTGCTCCACCCTCCACTTTCACATCAGCCTTTGGAGTTTTCACTTTCGCCTTCTTTTTGCCCAAACCGAATCCGAGTTTCGGTGCCTTGATTGAAATATGCGGTTTCGGCACATCCACCTTAGCACCCACATCCACATCTGGCATCTCACCATGTACACGGAGATCTGGACCAGTCAGTTGCACACTGGGCAGTTTCACGTCTGTGTCCAGGTTGGCGGACACATCAGGCATGGACAGGTCTCCCTCAACAGACGGTGCACTCACATTTCCTGAGATCTGTAGGTCTGGTAGGTTCAAATCGGCGTCAACAACTCCCACACCGACACCGTCCAAATCGAGCTTACCGGAGAGATCACCTCCCAACGACGCATCGGGAACGGACACATCGACAGTAGGCAAATGAACACCGGCTTTCACAGATGGCACCTCCACAGATGGACCAGTCACATTCACATTCACATCAGGTGCATCTGCATGAAGTTTCCCAGACACGTCTGGTCCATGCACCTTCAACTTCGGCAACGAGATGTTCGGAGACCAGTGGAACTTCTTACCTTTACCTCGACCACTTGCATCCACACCGACATCCACACTGGGAACGTCAACCTTGCCGCTCACATCCAAACCAGCATCCACGTCTCCCGACACTTTCGGCAACTTCACCTTCTTCTCCTTCTTGCCTTTCGAGCCCCAACCGAAGGTGAATTTCTTCATTGATGGAACGCTGACTTTCACATCGGGTGCAGCAACCTTCCCAGTCACACCACCTGATACATCGATTTCGGGCACAGAGGCGGACACATCAACGTCAGGAACCTCCATGGAGACATCGAGTTCGTGTTTCGGAAGTGACACATCCACACCGCCAGTCGGACCTGAGACAGACACCGACGCGTCCGGCTTTCCAACACCAGCACCACCACCTATCTTCAGACCACCCTTCGGCAACCCGAACTTAGGAGACCAATGGAATTTCTTACCTCCCTTGCTTGCTTTACCATCTACATGAGCGTCCAAATCGGCATCCAAACCGGCGTCCAAATCTATCTTCCCACCTGCTCCACCCTCCACTTTCACATCAGCCTTTGGAGTTTTCACTTTCGCCTTCTTTTTGCCCAAACCGAATCCGAGTTTCGGTGCCTTGATTGAAATATGCGGTTTCGGCACATCCACCTTAGCACCCACATCCACATCTGGCATCTCACCATGTACACGGAGATCTGGACCAGTCAGTTGCACACTGGGCAGTTTCACGTCTGTGTCCAGGTTGGCGGACACATCAGGCATGGACAGGTCTCCCTCAACAGACGGTGCACTCACATTTCCTGAGATCTGTAGGTCTGGTAGGTTCAAATCGGCGTCAACAACTCCCACACCGACACCGTCCAAATCGAGCTTACCGGAGAGATCACCTCCCAACGACGCATCGGGAACGGACACATCGACAGTAGGCAAATGAACACCGGCTTTCACAGATGGCACCTCCACAGATGGACCAGTCACATTCACATTCACATCAGGTGCATCTGCATGAAGTTTCCCAGACACGTCTGGTCCATGCACCTTCAACTTCGGCAACGAGATGTTCGGAGACCAGTGGAACTTCTTACCTTTACCTCGACCACTTGCATCCACATCGACATCCACACTGGGAACGTCAACCTTGCCGCTCACATCCAAACCAGCATCCACGTCTCCCGACACTTTCGGCAACTTCACCTTCTTCTCCTTCTTGCCTTTCGAGCCCCAACCGAAGGTGAATTTCTTCTTTGATGGAACGCTGACTTTCACATCGGGTGCAGCAACCTTCCCAGTCACACCACCTGATACATCGATTTCGGGCACAGAGGCGGACACATCAACGTCAGGAACCTCCATGGAGACATCGAGTTCGTGTTTCGGAAGTGACACATCCACACCGCCAGTCGGACCTGAGACAGACACCGACGCGTCCGGCTTTCCAACACCAGCACCACCACCTATCTTCAGACCACCCTTCGGCAACCCGAACTTAGGAGACCAATGGAATTTCTTACCTCCCTTGCTTGCTTTACCATCTACATGAGCGTCCAAATCGGCATCCAAACCGGCGTCCAAATCTATCTTCCCACCTGCTCCACCCTCCACTTTCACATCAGCCTTTGGAGTTTTCACTTTCGCCTTCTTTTTGCCCAAACCGAATCCGAGTTTCGGTGCCTTGATTGAAATATGCGGTTTCGGCACATCCACCTTAGCACCCACATCCACATCTGGCATCTCACCATGTACACGGAGATCTGGACCAGTCAGTTGCACACTGGGCAGTTTCACGTCTGTGTCCAGGTTGGCGGACACATCAGGCATGGACAGGTCTCCCTCAACAGACGGTGCACTCACATTTCCTGAGATCTGTAGGTCTGGTAGGTTCAAATCGGCGTCAACAACTCCCACACCGACACCGTCCAAATCGAGCTTACCGGAGAGATCACCTCCCAACGACGCATCGGGAACGGACACATCGACAGTAGGCAAATGAACACCGGCTTTCACAGATGGCACCTCCACAGATGGACCAGTCACATTCACATTCACATCAGGTGCATCTGCATGAAGTTTCCCAGACACGTCTGGTCCATGCACCTTCAACTTCGGCAACGAGATGTTCGGAGACCAGTGGAACTTCTTACCTTTACCTCGACCACTTGCATCCACATCGACATCCACACTGGGAACGTCAACCTTGCCGCTCACATCCAAACCAGCATCCACGTCTCCCGACACTTTCGGCAACTTCACCTTCTTCTCCTTCTTGCCTTTCGAGCCCCAACCGAAGGTGAATTTCTTCTTTGATGGAACGCTGACTTTCACATCGGGTGCAGCAACCTTCCCAGTCACACCACCTGATACATCGATTTCGGGCACAGAGGCGGACACATCAACGTCAGGAACCTCCATGGAGACATCGAGTTCGTGTTTCGGAAGTGACACATCCACACCGCCAGTCGGACCTGAGACAGACACCGACGCGTCCGGCTTTCCAACACCAGCACCACCACCTATCTTCAGACCACCCTTCGGCAACCCGAACTTAGGAGACCAATGGAATTTCTTACCTCCCTTGCTTGCTTTACCATCTACATGAGCGTCCAAATCGGCATCCAAACCGGCGTCCAAATCTATCTTCCCACCTGCTCCACCCTCCACTTTCACATCAGCCTTTGGAGTTTTCACTTTCGCCTTCTTTTTGCCCAAACCGAATCCGAGTTTCGGTGCCTTGATTGAAATATGCGGTTTCGGCACATCCACCTTAGCACCCACATCCACATCTGGCATCTCACCATGTACACGGAGATCTGGACCAGTCAGTTGCACACTGGGCAGTTTCACGTCTGTGTCCAGGTTGGCGGACACATCAGGCATGGACAGGTCTCCCTCAACAGACGGTGCACTCACATTTCCTGAGATCTGTAGGTCTGGTAGGTTCAAATCGGCGTCAACAACTCCCACACCGACACCGTCCAAATCGAGCTTACCGGAGAGATCACCTCCCAACGACGCATCGGGAACGGACACATCGACAGTAGGCAAATGAACACCGGCTTTCACAGATGGCACCTCCACAGATGGACCAGTCACATTCACATTCACATCAGGTGCATCTGCATGAAGTTTCCCAGACACGTCTGGTCCATGCACCTTCAACTTCGGCAACGAGATGTTCGGAGACCAGTGGAACTTCTTACCTTTACCTCGACCACTTGCATCCACATCGACATCCACACTGGGAACGTCAACCTTGCCGCTCACATCCAAACCAGCATCCACGTCTCCCGACACTTTCGGCAACTTCACCTTCTTCTCCTTCTTGCCTTTCGAGCCCCAACCGAAGGTGAATTTCTTCTTTGATGGAACGCTGACTTTCACATCGGGTGCAGCAACCTTCCCAGTCACACCACCTGATACATCGATTTCGGGCACAGAGGCGGACACATCAACGTCAGGAACCTCCATGGAGACATCGAGTTCGTGTTTCGGAAGTGACACATCCACACCGCCAGTCGGACCTGAGACAGACACCGACGCGTCCGGCTTTCCAACACCAGCACCACCACCTATCTTCAGACCACCCTTCGGCAACCCGAACTTAGGAGACCAATGGAATTTCTTACCTCCCTTGCTTGCTTTACCATCTACATGAGCGTCCAAATCGGCATCCAAACCGGCGTCCAAATCTATCTTCCCACCTGCTCCACCCTCCACTTTCACATCAGCCTTTGGAGTTTTCACTTTCGCCTTCTTTTTGCCCAAACCGAATCCGAGTTTCGGTGCCTTGATTGAAATATGCGGTTTCGGCACATCCACCTTAGCACCCACATCCACATCTGGCATCTCACCATGTACACGGAGATCTGGACCAGTCAGTTGCACACTGGGCAGTTTCACGTCTGTGTCCAGGTTGGCGGACACATCAGGCATGGACAGGTCTCCCTCAACAGACGGTGCACTCACATTTCCTGAGATCTGTAGGTCTGGTAGGTTCAAATCGGCGTCAACAACTCCCACACCGACACCGTCCAAATCGAGCTTACCGGAGAGATCACCTCCCAACGACGCATCGGGAACGGACACATCGACAGTAGGCAAATGAACACCGGCTTTCACAGATGGCACCTCCACAGATGGACCAGTCACATTCACATTCACATCAGGTGCATCTGCATGAAGTTTCCCAGACACGTCTGGTCCATGCACCTTCAACTTCGGCAACGAGATGTTCGGAGACCAGTGGAACTTCTTACCTTTACCTCGACCACTTGCATCCACATCGACATCCACACTGGGAACGTCAACCTTGCCGCTCACATCCAAACCAGCATCCACGTCTCCCGACACTTTCGGCAACTTCACCTTCTTCTCCTTCTTGCCTTTCGAGCCCCAACCGAAGGTGAATTTCTTCTTTGATGGAACGCTGACTTTCACATCGGGTGCAGCAACCTTCCCAGTCACACCACCTGATACATCGATTTCGGGCACAGAGGCGGACACATCAACGTCAGGAACCTCCATGGAGACATCGAGTTCGTGTTTCGGAAGTGACACATCCACACCGCCAGTCGGACCTGAGACAGACACCGACGCGTCCGGCTTTCCAACACCAGCACCACCACCTATCTTCAGACCACCCTTCGGCAACCCGAACTTAGGAGACCAATGGAATTTCTTACCTCCCTTGCTTGCTTTACCATCTACATGAGCGTCCAAATCGGCATCCAAACCGGCGTCCAAATCTATCTTCCCACCTGCTCCACCCTCCACTTTCACATCAGCCTTTGGAGTTTTCACTTTCGCCTTCTTTTTGCCCAAACCGAATCCGAGTTTCGGTGCCTTGATTGAAATATGCGGTTTCGGCACATCCACCTTAGCACCCACATCCACATCTGGCATCTCACCATGTACACGGAGATCTGGACCAGTCAGTTGCACACTGGGCAGTTTCACGTCTGTGTCCAGGTTGGCGGACACATCAGGCATGGACAGGTCTCCCTCAACAGACGGTGCACTCACATTTCCTGAGATCTGTAGGTCTGGTAGGTTCAAATCGGCGTCAACAACTCCCACACCGACACCGTCCAAATCGAGCTTACCGGAGAGATCACCTCCCAACGACGCATCGGGAACGGACACATCGACAGTAGGCAAATGAACACCGGCTTTCACAGATGGCACCTCCACAGATGGACCAGTCACATTCACATTCACATCAGGTGCATCTGCATGAAGTTTCCCAGACACGTCTGGTCCATGCACCTTCAACTTCGGCAACGAGATGTTCGGAGACCAGTGGAACTTCTTACCTTTACCTCGACCACTTGCATCCACATCGACATCCACACTGGGAACGTCAACCTTGCCGCTCACATCCAAACCAGCATCCACGTCTCCCGACACTTTCGGCAACTTCACCTTCTTCTCCTTCTTGCCTTTCGAGCCCCAACCGAAGGTGAATTTCTTCTTTGATGGAACGCTGACTTTCACATCGGGTGCAGCAACCTTCCCAGTCACACCACCTGATACATCGATTTCGGGCACAGAGGCGGACACATCAACGTCAGGAACCTCCATGGAGACATCGAGTTCGTGTTTCGGAAGTGACACATCCACACCGCCAGTCGG